GTGGATAATTTGTTGGCATTCATAAAATGAAGTAGAAAGTGTTTTCTCCTCTTCTATTGTGGAAGAGATTGGCATTAATTTTTCTTTAAATGCCTGGTGGGATTCCTTAGTGAAACCTTCTGGCCAGGAGATTTTCTGTTCAGAAACCTTTTAATTATGGATTCAGTTTTTTAAATGATTTCAGTAGTACTCAAGTTATCTCTTTCATCTTGGTTGGGTTTTGGTAGTTTATGGTTTTTGAGGAATTGGTCCGTTTTTTGTAAGTTGTCCAGTTTGTGAGGACAAAGTTGTTTGTAGTGTTCCCTTAGTATCCTCTGACTGTCTGCAGGGCCTGCAGCAGTGTCCCTTTCCTTCCTGATCCCGCTGATACATGTCTTTTCTCTTTTTATCTCGGTCAGTCTCTAGAGCTTTATCTATTTTATTGATTTATTTTTAAAACCAGCTTTTTGTGTCTTTTTTTTTTCTGTTTTCATTGTTATTGATTTCTGTTCTTTATTTCCTGCCTTCTGCTTGCTTTGGGGTATTTTTCTTCTTTTTCTAGTTTCTTGAAGTAGGAAATTAGATTACTGATTTGAGATCTTTCTTCTTTTCTAATGTAAACTTAGCAGTGTAATTTCCCTCTTGGCACCTGTGCCCCATAAATTTTGATATGTTGTATTTACGGTTTAATTCATTTCTATGCATTTTTAAATTTTCTCTTGAGACTTCCTGTTTGACCCACACATTATTTAGAAGTGGTTCTTTAGTTTCCAAGTGTCTGGATATTTTCCTGTTATCTTTCTGTTGTTGATTTGTAGTTTGATTGCACTATCGTTAAAGAACATGCTCTATAATTTTAATCCTTTAAATTTGTTGAGGTTTATTTTATGGCCCAGGATATGGTCTTTCTTGATGGGTGTTCAGTGAGCACTTCAAAAAAAAAAATTATTCTGCTGTTTTTGAGTGTAGTGTTTTCTCTGTCTCTCTCTCTCTATGTATATCAGTTAGACCCTGTTGATTGATCTTACTGTTCACTTTTTCTGTATCCTTGCTGATTTTCCATATAGAGTTTTACTCATTGCAGGGATAGGACATTAATGTCTTGAAGTATTATTGTGGCTTGGCTATTTCAGTTTTCTCATTTCATCTCTATCAGTTTTTGTTTCTTACATTCAAGGCTCTGTTGTTTGTTGAACACACATGTAGAATTGTTACGTCTTCCTGGTGGATTGATCCTTTAATCATTATGTAATGACTGTCTTTATCTCTAGCTATTTTCTTTGCTCTGAAGTCTACTTACTGGATAGTAATATAGCCACACTCCTTTTTTTTCTTTTTTTAATTGAAGTATAGTCAATTACAATGTGTCAGTCTCTGGTGTGCAGCACAATGT